AGGAAGGGGAAAAAAAAAAGCCAGAAAAAGTTTCTTTCCTGGAGTCCCAAACGAGGTGTGGGACGGAAGAAGGGGTCAAGACCAGAGGCTTGGGACTACACGGGGGCCGATCGCTGTCTGGAGTCCCCTGTTCCAGGCCATGTCGGGGCCCACCTGGCTCCCCCCAAAGCAGCTGGAGCCTGCCAGAGCCCCTCTGGGAAGAGCACTCTCCCGAGGTGTCCCGGGGCCGCCGCCAGCCCACGGAGCAGGTAAAGCAGCTCCAGCGCCGCTGAGGAGGCCACTGGCCGTTCCTCGCTCACCTCTGCCTTCTGCCTCCTGCCTGTCCCTGCCACCCCTTCCCTGAAGCTCTTCCGGCTTCCTGCCGTTCCTGCTCCTCCCGCTCCCTTCTTGGACCCCAGGTGTGGGGGGGAGGGGAGATGAGGGACCCTAAAGCGCGGCCTCCAGAAGTGTCACCCTCCTCTCTTTCCCCATCCCCACCTTGGCTCTCTCTTCCCTCACCCCAGCACTTCAGCCCCACCCCAGGGTCAATTTTTGCCCCCTCCCATCTGAGCAGTGTTACCAGGCCCCGGGGGGACCGGATGATCGGGGGCTAGCCTGGGTGGGGTGCCATGGAGCACCCCAGCGCTCACAGGTGAGAAACCGGAATTGGGGGGTGGGGGGCGGGAGGTGTGGGCACCCGGGACAGGTGATTTGAATTCTCCCGGCTTTTGCTTCATCCCCAGGGGCTCCCCCAAGACAGGGGGGCCTTGCGCCCAGGAAGTCTGGATGCTGAAATAGATTCGCTGACCAGCATGCTGGCTGAACTGGATGGAGGTCGTGGTCATGCCCCACGGCGGTCAGACCGGCAGGTGACCCACTGGCCTGCCCTGTCCCTCCCCTGCTCCTTGTCTCCTGCCCTCCTCCCCACTCCCTAGTTTGATCCCTTCTCTAGATTCTCAGTCTAGCCCAGCCCTCTCTGTGTGAGTGATACACACAGGAGCGTGGAAGAAGCTGGCCCACCAGAGCCCACCAGGTTGTCTACCTCTTGAGGATGAGCCCTTGTCAAAGACCAGTGGTTATCTTGGGGCCACACAAACGGGGGCTTCCACAGGTGTGCGTCCTGGAATGGGTCTGCTCACTCCCGGTCTGTGTTTCTCCCCAGGCTTATGAGCCCCCTCAGCCCCATGCCTACCGCACGGGCTCAGGTTCCCTGAAGCCGAATGGAGGGGGTGTTCCGATTCCTCCCCAACAGCTCTCTGCGTCCTCCTATGGGGGTCCCACTCCGGCCTCCTATGCTACAGCCAGCACCCCCGCCGGTCCTGCCTTCCCCGTGCAAGTGAAGGTGGCACAACCGGTGAGAGGCTGTGGCCCCCCAAGGCGGGGGGCCTCTCAGGCCTCCGGGGCCCTCCCGGGCCCCCACTTTCCTCTCCCAGGCCGAGGTGAAGTGTGGGGGGCTGGCTATAGGAGCCACCGTGAGCCAGGTCCAGGGGGTAAAGAGGAGGCCGGAGGAGGAGGACGAGGTGGCAGGTACGGACCCCAGGTAAGTCCCGGGTAACTGGGATTTGGGGTCCTCACAGACAACTGGATACTGATTGGGTGGGCGGGGGTGGTGTCTAATGCCCTTGTTGTCAGAGGCCTGTTGGGTTGGTGCGCTGTGCTGGTCAGAAAATATAAGCGGGCAGGGCTAGCGCTGTTCACTGGCTCCTGGAGGGGTGCCCCTGGGCCCGGCGCTGAGACCTTCTCAGATGAGACTTCTGGGTGGAATTGCCTGGTCACCTTCAGGAAGTTTGACAGCACAGAGAGCTAGAGGTAGGGCTGAACCCCTGATTCCCTCCTCTCAGGTCCCCCTGAGCCAGCCTCCTGAAGAGGAGCTTGAGAGGCTGACCAAGAAGCTGGTGCACGACATGAACCACCCTCCCACAGGGGAGTACTTTGGTGAGCTGACCCGAGGTGGGAAGGGGGCTGGAGAGTCAGAGGGCCAGAGAATCTACCTTTCTCTTCTGTACTGACTCACCTTGTCCTTCCTTGTCCCCAGGGCGGTGTGGCGGCTGTGGAGAAGATGTGGTTGGGGATGGGGCTGGGGTTGTGGCCCTGGACCGTGTCTTTCACGTCGGCTGCTTTGTGTGTTCTACGTGCCGGGCCCAGCTTCGGGGCCAGCATTTCTATGCTGTGGAGAGGAGGGCGTACTGTGAGAGCTGCTACGTGGTGAGTAGGTGGGCTGGGGGTGTCAACAGCAGGAGGCAGGAGGCTTCCATCTAAGGTGGGGACCATATGCCCGAGCCCCATAAAAGGTACAGAGCTCAAAGGGGGGGGCGCTAAACTGACACATAAGAAGGGAGGAATTATAAAAGTCGCTAAATACTGGCTGCTGGAGGGAAAGGACAATGGTCCCTTACAAATGCCAGACATTTATTTTAGAGTTAAGGGAATGTGTTAAATTCCCACACCGCCACCCCTGTGGAGCACCTATGACTACCGAAGGAAACTGAAGCTGAGACTAAGTCACTTATCTGGGAGGCTGCTGTGCTAGGACTTCTACGCAGATCTGTTCAAGGCCACTTTTCAATGAATCCCTTGCAAGGGGCTACATAAACAGATGGGTGGGCCAGCGGGCCTCCCCAGCCCCAAACTTCCTACCCTCCTTCCTGTTAGGCCACCCTGGAGAAGTGCTCCACATGCTCCCAACCCATCCTGGACCGGATCCTACGGGCGATGGGGAAGGCCTACCACCCTAGCTGCTTTACCTGTGTGGTGTGCCACCGTGGCCTCGATGGCATCCCTTTCACAGTGGATGCCACCAGCCAGATCCACTGCATTGAGGACTTCCACAGGTCAGGCTGGGTCTCCCACCTTTGTCTCAGATGTCTGACCTTCCCCATCTTCCCCATTTGTCCTTCATGCCCCAGCACTGGTCTCCCACCCCTGGCCTGGTCTCTTTCTTGTTAACATCACCCTCTTTTCTAAGATCTAAGACCATACCCCTGGTCTCTCCCGTTCCCTCGTGTATCCTACCTTCTCTGGGCTCCAACCCCGGGGCTTGACAGCCTCCTTGGTTCCCTCCTGACCCAGGAAGTTTGCCCCACGATGCTCAGTATGTGGTGGGGCCATCATGCCTGAGCCAGGTCAGGAGGAGACCGTACGAATCGTTGCTCTGGATCGCAGTTTTCACGTTGGCTGTTATAAGTGCGAGGTCAGGGGGCCTGGGCAAGGGGAAGCGGGGGTTCTTGGAGTCTGGGGTGCTGGATATGGTAGAACCCAGGGATCCAGGCCTGATAGAAAGCTGTTGCTTCTGTCTCAACAGGAGTGTGGGCTGCTGCTCTCTTCCGAGGGTGAGTGTCAGGGCTGTTACCCGCTGGATGGGCACATCTTGTGCAAGGCTTGCAGTGCCTGGCGCATCCAGGAGCTCTCAGCCACCGTCACCACTGACTGCTGAGTCTCCCCAGTAGCACCTGCTGCATTCTCCCACCCTCCCTGACATCTACCCTTACAACTTTGTCACCAAATGCTGTCTCCTCTTCCTCCAATCATGAAATAATAATCCCTCAAGAGTTTACAAAACCCACTGAAGCGTGTCGTCTCATCTGATTCTCACAGCAGCCTAACACATGCACAACTGTTGCACCTCCCTGCGTTTTTATAGAAGTGATCTCAGATGACATGATTCCCAAATGGCAGTACCGAGGTCAGAGCCTGGGTCTTCTTGGTCCTAGTCCTGGTTTTTGGCAACTACACTGTACACCCTCTCCCCGTGCTGGGAGCGTGCTGGGAGTGAGCTGCGGCATGCTCCAGGGAGGCAGCATCTCCTACTCCTAAGCCTCACACTCCACTCCCTGAACAAGGACTTGGGTGTTATCTCCCGAGTGGTGATGCATTTAATCTGGGGCAAGCCAGACTCCCCCTGTTGATCAAGACTTCAACCTATAGCCTATCCCAACCAAGCATTGTTTGGGGATAAGACAGATTTGCCGGTTTCGCTTACAAGACGGGGCGCCTCTGTTGAGATACAGCAGTCACAGGGCTTTGCATATGGTGCATACTGAGGCAGCAAAAAGCCTGGTTCTCTGCTGCAGCACAAAATGGTGGGAGATGCTTTAAAATGGTTGCTCCACCCCGCTAAACGCCTGCATTCCCCAACTCCCTGCCCTGCGCCAGGAGGAGAAAACCGCCCCGATGAGGTCAGGAGGCGCCCAAGCAGGGTGGCTGGGGGGACAACAACTGGACACGAACTCGTTCAGACCCCGGACACATCCGGGTGACAACGACCTTCGACCTCAACGGGAGGACGCGCTCCTTCACGCCCATAAGGCTCTACAACCCGGCCGAGGTTTCGCTTGGTCCACCTCGGCTCCCGTAATTTCTCTCGTCCGCGCGCAGTTCTCGTTCCAGAGAGCACGCGAGACTTCCGGTCCCCGCCCCTTCCCATCATCCCGCGGTGCTCCCAGCCTTTCGCTGTGTGCTTTAAGTTCCAGTTCAGGCCGCGGGGGACTACTTTGTGGTTGGGGCCCCGTCCCGACGGTGACGCAGGCGCAGCGCGAGCGGCGCGCGCCGACCGCCCATCCCCGGCTGTCCCACTTTTCTTCTCGTCTCCTCGGCCTCCTCGCTGAGAGCCTCGCGTCTCCCTCTCACCGTCCGCGCCGCCCTCGTCGCGCGCCCGAGGCGAGAGGCGGGCCCAGGTCTCCCGGAAAACTAGCCCGCGGGAGCGCGAGACTAACGGCCGCGAAGCTCCCAGGTGGGGGAGGGGCGGGGCCTGGAGAGTCGGGGCTGCGGCGGGCGGGAGGGAGGGGGTTCGGGCGGGCGTGGGCAGGGAGTTCCTGCGGGCGAGTGTCGGAGCCGTCCACCTGCGCGGGAAGAGGGCTTGGGATGGCGGGGACAGTGGAAGGCTGGCCTTTGCGGAGGGAGGCGGGCGTGCTGCCCCGGAGCAGCTCTGGGTCCTTTCCTGCCCTGGTCATTGTTCTGCACCCTGACCATCTCTGTCCCGGCTCCAGGCCCCCTCACACCGCACCATGGGGGACAGTGACGACGAGTACGACCGAAGGCGCAGGGACAAGTTTAGAAGAGAGCGCAGCGACTATGACCGTTCTCGCGAAAGAGATGAGAGACGTCGAGGAGACGATTGGAATGACCGGTAAGACTTCCTTTTCTTAGTTTTCTCACCCTATCTCATTCTTTTGCACTCCTCCCTCGTTGCATTGCCTTTATTCGTTATATAGGGCGAACCACATGAAGTCGCTTATGCTTGACCGTTTCCGGTCGGTCAACCTATTCGCTGTTTGCCAAAGAGCTAGCTAGCTACGGCTTGATTTTGAAACGTATATGAGGTCAAAGCAGTAGACTTAAGAGTTGGAGTATGAAGAAGTAATGTTTTTAAAATGCATGCATTTTCTTGTTTGTAAATTACTCCTCAAAGGTGTGGATTCAAAGGAAGTGACGCTTTCTAATTGACTTGACTCGGAGAGGTTGTCAGATCAGACCTGTTCCCTGGCAAAATATGGTTAAATATCTTGTAGTTGTCTTCCCTAAAATCAGAGTTCTTTGGACAGTGATGGTTAGGTTAGTTGGTTAGGTTTGACTTAGCTAGTCATTAGTTTTCTGGGATGTTCTGGAGTTAATTATCATTAAGGTGTTTCCACAGAGAGAAGTGATTTCATTTTATTTATTTATTTATTTATTTATTTTTAATATGTGAAATTTATTGTCAAATTGGTTTCCATACAACACCCCGTGCTCATCCCAAAAGGTGCCCTCCTCAATACCCATCACCCAC